CATGAGCCAGCAAGCCACTGGCAGCCAGCCCTCCACCGCTCCCCAGGAGCAGTCTGCCAGCTCCCAGGAGCCTACAGGGGCTGGAGAAGGCGGGCGCCTTCCTGGTCCAGGGTGGAGATCATGGACCTTACTCAGGTTTGGGGAGATGCCCCCAACGTCCATGATCTCTGCGCTAGATGGAGGAACGCAGCCGTCTATGGCAGGATAGCTGCCAGCCTGGCCACCAAAGGCCACATGCGAACCCAGGAGCAGGTTCGCATGAAAATCAAGTTGGTCTGGTGAGACCCCCAACCCTGAGCCCTGAGCTTCCCCTCCCCCTTCTTCCCTTTGCTTCCCCCTTCCAGCTCCCTCCTCCCAGGTTTTCCTCCTCCCCTCTCCCACCCTCTCTCTTCCCCTCTCCCACCTCCTTTTCCCAGTCTCCCCAGAGGTTCATGCGCCTCCTCCCCAGTTTTGTTCAATAAACCCAGTTTGTATTTTTGAACAGACGTGTCTTTTGTTTGACATCAGGAAGGGGGGCTAGGGAGAGGTAAGTGGAAGGACGTGAGGGAGGAATGGAGCACGAGCCCCCGATGGGGAGGACTGGGGAGGCTCTGAGGTTTTGTGTGTAGATGCATTAATTTGAATTAGCTTAATTCAAATTAACTATTTTGAATTAAATTAACTCGACTTAACGCTGTAGTGTAGACATATCCTTACTGAACAGCTTCTGATGGGAGCCTAAATTGAGGGTTACATTTTAAAAGCACTTCTGTGGTTTATATGTCTAGGCCCCATTTTCATCCCCACAAGGGTCCTGTTTGCATCTTTAGGTGTCTCAATACTATTAAAAATCTGCTCCAAGCTGCTGTTGAAAATGCTCCTAAGCCACTTAGGTGCTCTGGTCACTGTTACCCTGAGCTGATGTTAATTACCCTGTGCACAAACCCATGCATGTAGCCATGTACTGTGTGTGAGTGGGTATTGTATCCACCACACTGTGGCGCTCGGCTCATGTTGATGGTTCTCACTGTGAAAATCAGAGCTTTACATTTTAAAAGTAGCGGACTGTTCTTCCCCAGGGGCCAGAGAAACACAAATCCCTGAGGGCAACAGTTAATCCGAAACGGGGATGTTGCACATCACTCTGCATATGCACACCAGCCCCATGGCTTCTGTTCTGGAGGGTCTGTCAGATGATCATGCCCCGCCTGGCTAGTCTTCCCACAGGACTCTCGGACCCTCCCTGAACTGGATGATCTGCGTTTAATGGAAGAGGCCTAGCAAACCCCAAGTCATAACAGGAGCCCTTAGCTCCAGAAGTGCATTTGCTGCAGTGGGGATGACCTCGCGTGAGCAAAGATGTGCAGGTCAGACACTCTTGTCCCAATGCAGCAGAGGGTGTAAGTATGGGTATGTCTACACTACCCCCCTAGTTTGAACTAGGGTGGTTAATGTAGGCAACCAGAGTTGCAAATGAAGCCCGGGAGTTGAATTTCCCGGGCTTCATTTGCAGGTTGCCGGGCGCCGCCATTTTTAAATGTCCGCTAGTTCGGACTCCGTGCCCGCAGTTCCACGAGGAGTAACGGTAGTTCGGAGTAGGAAGCCTAATCCAAACTACCTAGTTCGTGCCGCGGGGAGCCGCGGGCACGGAGTCCGAACTAGCGGACATTTAAAAATGGCGGTGCCCGGCAATATGCAAATGAAGCCCGGGAGTTGAATTTCCCGGGCTTCATTTGCAACCCCGGCTGCCTACATTAACCACCCTAGGTCGAACTAGGGTGGTAGTGTAGACATACCCTAAATGCTTAATGTTAACCCTGCACTTGTGTCCCGGGAATAGGAAAAGGCTGCAGAATTGGGGCCTGATGTATTTGGAGTAGATTCCCGGCTCAATGTCATCAGCAGAGTTTTTCTCACATGCAACTGCAAGTGCTACCCAGCACCAAGGGGTGGCGAGGTGCCAAAAATGAGTCTTCACAGTCAACCAAACAAATGCAGAAAGGGTGAATGCATTCCAACGGGAGGCTCGCCATCGCAGATGGGTGAGAAAGGAGCAGCTTGCCACCCAGTCACGGAACGCCTTTTTCACAAGCGATAGTGATTGCTCCGCGATATCAAGGGGACAAAAAATACAGGGGGCGGTAGAGAAGGCAACAAAAGAGGGCAATGTCAAAGCTGGACGAAAACGTGTGAGAGGCTGGGTTAGACTGTACTCTCGTTAGGACAGGGAGTGTTTCTTGGATATGTGTTTGTAGAACACTTAGCACAATGAAGCCCTGGCCCTGAGGTGTAATAATAATAATAACTAATAGACAAGCAAGACTCACATGGATTTCAGTGGGAGTGAAGCTAGCCATCAGATATCTGGTGACACCAAGCACTGAGAGTTTCTTTCAGCCCTTGCTTTCTGTTTTGGTTCTCAGACTATTCTCTTTCCTGCCAAAATCTGTGACTCTCTCTGTATGACTGAATGCTGCTATGATTTTATTTCTAGGCAGGAAACTGCAGGCAGCATTAAACATTTTGAATTGCCTACCCAGTCTTTGCACTTATTCCCATGAATCGGTAACTTTTGATTAGGAAGTAAAGGGCCTTCCATTGTTTTTCATGTTATCTTGCAAGAGATTATTAATACTTAAGGGGGAATTCTACAAGGTCATCAAGGCTAGGTTCTCCCAAAAGCCATACAAGATAATACAGCATCTCTTTAATACCTAACCCTACACACACATGGAAATTTAGGGTTAGCTGCATTCTGGGAATTTGGATGAAATTGCATTAAAACTTTCCTGATTTTTAAAACCATGCACACACACAAAATGGATTCACAGGCCAACTGAGTTTGAATTTAGACTTAAAGGGGTTTTTATGTTGACTCTGCGCCATCAACTATGAAAACCCCTTGGAGAATAATATGCGGAAACTATATAAATGAATGTTGCTCACCATCTAGAATGAATGAGAATAGTTTAATTATTTGTATCCCTTGCTTTCAACACTTGTTAGCTGACTTTTGTAACTGTTCACAAGATGTTTCTCAACACTGCCATGATGAACACTTGTTTTTCTCTTCAATGTGAGCTAATATCTCATCCATCAAGCAAGAGTATTGGTTTCCTAAGTAGTCCTGCTTAAGATTCATGTAGGGGGAGCACTTTAAAAAAATAATTAGACTTTATACCTCTAGTGGGCCCCAATTCTGTGCCCAAGAGAGTCGATGGTAACGTGCCCATAATGCAGGATCAGGCCCCAACCTTGAATCTCAGGTTCTAAAAGTTCTTTAAAAAGGAACGAGCCTCCAAACGCCCCTGTGGAGAGCAGGGCCGGCTTTAGGAAGTGCGGGGCCCAATTCGAACCAAATTTTGATTGAGCAAAAAAAAAAAAAAAAAATCAACCCAGCACACAAAGAAACAAGTCACCGCCCCTTTAAATCCCCAGCTACAGGGCACAGTCCCGCCTTCCAGCAAAACCCACGGGCCGACCCCCCCTTCCGGGGTGCACAGAAGCCGCCGCACTCCTCCTCCGGGTCCGATGCCCCCTCCCGCAGCACGCCCAGCACCGAGTATAGGGCGCAGGGCCCTCTGGCTTTAGGGTGTGGGGCCCTTTCAGGCGCGGGGCCTGATTCGAGGGAATCGGGCGAATCGGCCTAAAGCCAGCCCTGGTGGAGAGGTAAATTTGCCACTCATTGGATAGCTGAGGCATGTGAAGATTACAGACCAGATTCCACCAGCATTACTCTCAGTGAGTGCTACCTTACTCAGCCAACATGAATCTGGCCTAAGGGAATCGAGAAACACTGACATGCTGTAACCATTAGACCTCACTCCTGCCTGCTGATGAAGGGGCAATTGCCCCACAACCTAAAGATTCAAAGGGGCCCGAAGCTCCCAGTGGCGGGGGCCGGAGCCCCCAGAGCACCGTGCCATGCCGCATGCTCCGTGCAGCTCTTAGGGCTGGGATGAAGGGCTAGCGCCGCACTCCAGGTAGCGCTGAGGGCTGGCTAGCACAGCCCCACCCCTTCAGCCTGAGGCTCCACTGCTTCCAGGAGCATGGAGTTGGCCCCACGCACACCTGGCCTGTCGGGCCTCCCTGACTTCACTCATTCCCACTCTTAGCTGCTAGAACGCTGGATTCAAGCCTTTTTTAGATCACCACCAGTCCAGGTCGCTGGTGGCCTCGACTTTATCCCTAGGGAGTGCTTATCCCCTGAACTCCCTTGCTGCCAACCCAATACTGCAAGCAGTCTCAGATACACGTGGGTCATTAACAGCAAAAGAACTACCAGCCAGGACTAGGATGCCGCCGCCACGCTGCATGGGGACAGAAATTGCTCAGAATATGCCACTCGCTCACCTCTGTGCTCAGCCACTGGCTTTTGTGGCTGCTCAACCCACTCAGAAAACAAACAGAAGCTATATCACTTGCACATCACCCAGGAAGAACCCAAATGAGGAGCCCCTGCAAATTCTCGCTGACCTGTCCACATCTGTACCTGTTAATTGAGCTGACGCTGGGGACCGTGTCATTGTCACACACTCGCTCGGCTAGAAGTCGATCCCTGATCTCCCAGGCAAACATGGTGGGATTTTGGCGTTTATATTCTGCGATTTTTTCGACGACTTTGGGTGTGGCGACCTTTGGTTTGGAGCCTCCAATCACTCCAGGCTTAATGCTTCCAGTCTCATAGTACCTGGGAGAGAATCCAAGGCAAAGCTTTAGTTACCAAGAGTTGGCAGACACCAAGATTGGACATTTACAGCGTGTGATATTTTAGTGCAACGTTTCTCCAGTCTCTTCTACAATACGTCTGCTCTTCCTCTCACACTTCCTGACTACGTCGTGCATTATCTCCCCAGTGGATTAATTTATAGTAATTGGAAATGGGACCCAGTTAAAAACATATAATTTTCCATAACAGCAAGACAATAGAAACAATGCAAGATTAAAGGGCATGCTGAGTTCCTAAATTAACTGGAAATGTATGTTATTAATCAGAGGTTGGGGCAATAATAGAAAGAAATCACATTCCGCACCATTTTTTGTACTGAATTCTTTTGTAGTAAATTACTCTTTGGATGGAAATTCACCTTCATTAATGTAAATGCCTTGTCATCACTTCAGAGCCACATGAAGGCTGGGTAAAGTAGTGCCATGACAAATCAGTGAAATATTTTAAGGGGGAAACAAATATTTCTTCTTCACTCTTCTCAGAAGACAGTAGAGTGGTTGTTTCTTTAAATTTGTAGAGCCTGATACCATAACAGTAGCCCAGGTGTAAGCCTTACACACTTTGCTCTATTGACGTCAGAGAGATTACTCATGTGATTAAAAATTACTCCACTCAAACAGTAAGATGAGGGTTGTATTAAGGACATGGTGACAGATGCTCCGCTGGTATAAATGGGACCAACTTCACTTCCTTCAGTGGAGCTGCAACAATTGATTCCAGCTGAGTACTGATTTTTTTTTCACAAAACAAAAGATTGGAAAATACAGTAGAACCTCAGAGTTACAAACTGACTGGTCAGCTCCACACCTTGTTTGGAGCTGGAAGTACACAATCAGCCGACAGCAGGAAAGAAAAAGACAAATATAGTACAGCTCTGTGTTGAACATACGCTACTAAAATAAAATAAAGGGAAAGCAGCATTTTTCTTTGTCAAAATAGATTTCAAAAGTCAATGTCCAGTTGTAAACATTTCTGAAAGAACAACCGTCACGTTTTGTTCAGAGTTACAAATATTCCAGAGTTACTAACAGCCCCATGCCTGTGATCGTAACTCTGAGGTTCTACTGTATTGCTCAAAGTGGGAGCCTTCTTCTGTCCACAGAGGACCAGGGGGAAACCTAAGGAAGAAAGTAACCTGTCTAAAGACTAAGCTTAAATGTTGTGCTGTACATGACAACTGAATGATGCTGTGCACTTTTTTTATAGTTTGTAATTTTCTAAGAATAAATGAACAATAACCCCAGAATTGACCTCAGAGGAACTGAGGTTTTTTCCCTATCAGACCTGATTCTGAAAGCTCTGTGCTTAACATTCCCGTTTCTTTATGAGATCTCCATACAGGGAAACCTTGCCAGTCAGGCCCATGCTCTGTCATCTTTATCAGCCTAAACCTGTTCATTGACCTTGGCACAGCCCATATTTTTAGCAGGATCTTTATTAGACCCCACCCAATAAAATCATAAGTTCATATAATATATTTTATCTGCAGCTACGTGATAGCTGTGTTTGCAGGAAAACTAATTTCCTAAAATCTCGCCGATGCAAAAGGGCATGAACATATTATGGGACTGAAGTCTGTGTATCAAAGGCAGCTGCGTCCATCAAATTTCTTTGGCATTACAGGTGTAAGCATCCTGTGGGCACTTTCTTTTCAGGCTTAAAATTCCCTTTAGTGGGAGTAGCAAGATGACATTTGCATCTGTCTTCGCATGAGTTTGGAACAAATGGTCTGTTCCTTTTCTGTCTCCAGGCACTCGACTGAGTACGATTACTGGAAGGTGATGAGCATCTGTGATGCATTAGCCCTTTGGGTTGTCCTGAGCTGAGCCTAACAATGAAGTTAAAGCAGGAAGAAAACACTTTCTCCCACTCCATGCCAGTTCCTTGTCCTGCCTTTTTCTGGGTTTCAAATGTCCATTTCTTAAGGGGGAAACAAATATTTCCTCCTCACTCTGCTCAGAAGAAAGTAGAGTGATTGGTTCTTTAAATTCTGTTACCTCCAGCTCTGGACAATCTAGCCAACAGGCAAACAGGCAGCTGACAAGCAGCTGGGCGATGCCTTTGGACTCTGCAGACAAACAGGGCCCTAAATTCTACCTCACTGAAGGACGCTGGCATAGAATGACCCCAATGACTATAAAGGGCATAAAATCAGGCTTTTATAAGCTTGCCCCTGAATAACTTACTCCCAATTTCCCTGGAAAGCTGAGATAGCCAAGTGCAATCTTCAGGCCAACCAAACCTATAAAATCTACAGAGCTCTCTTCTCGCCTGGTTAGTCTTGGCTTTAACTTGAGGCATGGCCCACAGAGACTACAACTCCCACAATGCAATTCTCCCTCACAATCTGGCCCCAACCCATATTAAAGATGAGGGCAGCTGCAATCTGCTTGATTTTATGCAAATTAGACCTGGTCCTTAAGCTCCAGGCCAGTTGCCAATGCTCCCCTTAGTGGGGTGGAGGGCAGACGCCCCTGTTCTAATGCTCTGTGAGCTAACAGCTACCTTCAGCCTCCTTCTGCCGCCATCAGCTCATCAACCCCAAAGGCTCACATTTATGTCTTTGAACAGTTCATTCCCCCTGCCCAGATCTGACTAAAAACACGTGGATTTCAAACATTCTCGGTTTCAGAATTTGGAATCAAATGATTTTACACGTGGATTGGTATTTTTTTTCCCCCACACGCAGCAGCTCCAATTACAGTGACATTTTACCCACCGTAATTATCAGTTATGAAAATAATGAGCTATGAAATTCCAATTTATTGTTGACAACTTAAATGACAAAACTGCAGAGCGGCTCTCTTAGCGCCATGATGCAAATATATCTAATGACAAATCTATTCACATCTGAAACAGGAAAGTGGCTGGACTTTCCCTGGTAGGCAAATGAGTTGCCCATTGATTAGTTTTGCACTGATACTAATAGAAATTGTTAGTACATCAGCTGGAGCGGAGAGGGGTCACAAATAAGGCCAGCACTCAGAGCAGATCCAAAGATCAAATAGAACAGAGCTGCTTGAAAGTCCCATGCAAAACTCTCTCTCTGAAAGAGTAAAGCTAGCAGAGCCTGTGTGTGCTTTCAATGTCACCAAAGTGATATCGGCATAACTCCACCCAATTACACGGGAGCCAAAATGGCATGTGAGAGAAGAACCGAGTCCACTAGATTTCTCAGACCTTCTGTGTATCCCGAATGACTGGCTTTTATGGCATTATAGCAACTGTCTGAAAAGGACGACAGAGAAGATTCTCCAGTATAGACAATGAGTCTCATGGAATAAGGGTAAGAGACTCCTTAGCTTTGCCAGTGTTGTTTCATTTTGAGTACTGTATTTGTCCATGTGGCACTGCTGCTGCAGTTATTGCAGGGGGAAGACTCTATGTACACTGCTAGACAAATGTTTGTTCTAACAATCTTTATAACTATAGTCCGACCAATTAAAATTTTAAAAAAAGGTCAAAACACGACTAATACCAGTGGAAATCAAACAATGAAGTTAATTCACAATTGTTAATGCTCAATACACATTTTAAAAATGTTTCTGAGTTATACAGAGAAAATAGAAGGCAATAGAAAAATATGGCAGTTAAAAGTTACCAAGATACATGCATTCTTGTGCATTTAAAACCAGCCATATATGATATTTAGATTTGTGCACAAGGTATTAAAATGCAGTGATGATTTTCTGGAATCTATATCAAGTTCAAAACCAAATTCTGAAATGACAGAAATCCTTTTTTTAATTTAGAATTGCTTTACTACTTTGAGGGTAGCCATCTCTTTTGAGTGGAAATGCTCAAAGTATCAAAATTAAGAGAGTTAATGGTTACTTGTGGTACTTCGTGTTATCATTAGGAATACATCTTATTACAAGAATAAAACAAACCTTGAAATGAAATTATTGTGACAAATTTCAAAAGAGGCCTCGTAAATGAGTGTGCTGACTGACTACTTCTCTTGGTAGCTGTAGGGCCTAAAGTTTAGGTAGTGAAATGATGTGCTAAAAACAGAATTTCTTTAAAAAAACAAAGGGGTAGCTTTCACTGCCTGATTCATAACTTCTGTTTTCTTTTTCCATTGTACGGCAAATGACTCAGATTCGTCAACTTGTGCAGTACACACAGGTGCAGGAAATTTAGACCACATATGCCATCCCACCCCTTTGCTTTTTTCGTTGTTTGCGAGAATTTTTTCATGAAGTAAATAAACAAAAAAAAGTATCACTTTCACTTCCCAGGTCAGACATCTTAAATTGTGAGTGATCCCTATGCAAACTCCTGTCATTCCTAGGTCGTTTCTATCACTCTCCCTTTGGATTTGTTTCTTGTTTTATAATCTTTGATCCAGGGACAATGTTTGATATTTTCCTTTACTGAAACAAAGTTACCTGCCAAGAATTTTGCTGACACAACCATGGCTGACCCGGAGCTGCCTGGAGATGTCACACGGCCTGACCCCTTGGTGAGCAAGTTCCACAATCCTTTGACGGACAACATCTGGAAGCGGACGACCATTCACAAAAACACCCCCTAACTGATTCACTCCTCCATGTCCTGAAACACATGGGAAAAAAAAACAAGCAGAAAAAAAACATCTTTGTGATCACTGAAAGACACTTCTCTACTGCGATGCCCCTGCTCAGCCAGAGATTCCTCCTTCCCGACTCTTCTCCAAAAGAGTTGAATAAACATTTTCAAATGACCGATTATCACTTACTGCTGAGGCAGGGAGAACTGTAAAAGTTGAAACCTAATTCTGTTGTCACAGCAGTTGCACACCAGTGTAACCCCGCTGGCTCTGATGGCGCACCTCCTGATTTGAGTGATATCAAACTCAGGCCAGACTTCATAAAACAGTCTTTCAAATTACATTTTTAGGCCCAGAGCAACAGTATTCAGGCAACATCTCCCATTGAAACCAATAGGAGATACTGCGGAAGTAAGAACAGCCTGGGTAGGCCCAGTAGCGGCGTGGTTAAAAGGTGACTTACAAATATGAGGCTATATTAAAATAAGACTCAGACTATTTTCCTTATACATTTAGTTTCCTTCAGTCAGAAAAGGATTGCCCTGAATTTAACCCTGGTTTACTGTTCCCCTCCCCCCATGATTGCTTAATGCTTAATTTAATCAAAATGGGGATATAAAATGGCTTTTGCTGTTATAATTCACAACAGTCTCTGCAAATATTATGGTCTTACAAATGAAATGTGAATGCTTCGCCCAGACCTATATATTGTTCTTTTTTCTAGCAGATTTGTACTGTTCACCTTTAGCAAGGTGAATCATATATCTGGTGTGAAATGGGACCCAGCTAGATGAGTAGGAGCTAGACTGAATAAAACCAATGCACATGTAATAATCCCATTTAGCAAGTAAGGAAAATATAATTAATCCTCAAGTTGTTAATCATTCAAACTACTTATCTAGCAGATGACTGACAAAACTGAAAACAGATAATAGAAACCAACAGCCCTGTTGCCAAAAATGGAACAAAAAAATCAGAACAATCTCTGTTTACAGGGAATTTAAACTGTACAGAATAAGATGACCCATTAAATGCCTCAGTGTTTAAAACATAACCAGTTACATAAAGCTATTTTATTTAAATCCAGTCATTTCCCCCAATGATAAACTGCTGCCCAACTTTGTAAACACCTTCTAGATCTGTCAGAACACATCATGAATCCACATCAAATACATGATTACTAAGGCCAGCATGAGCCAACCCAAAGCAGCCAGTCACTTGAAGTTCCTTGTCAATTTCAGAAGTGACTCTGTTTTCAGCACAACAGATGTTAGTGGAAGCTTCAAGTTCAAGGTGTTTGGGCTACAAAAATAAGTTTATTCAGAGCATATCAAGCAAAGTCTAAGGGTAACCTTGTGCTGCATTTTCCAGAGTGATCCATCCCATCATTTGAGGGTTGCACACTCTGTCTCTTTTGATTCTGAAATGCTAAAGCCAGAAAAATAATACCCTTATTGATTTTTAATACCAAAAAAACAGAGGTACAATTCCACTTAACTGAAACAAACTAGCCTCAGGCTCATTGCCATTTCAATTATATGAAAGTATTAACATCCTATTTAATTACAAAACGACAAAGCCCTCTACTTTTTCAGAAAGAAAGAAAGAAAGAAAGAAAGAAAGAAAGAAAGAAAGAAAGAAAGAAAGAAAGAAAGAAAGAAAGAAAGAAAGAAAGAAAGAAAGAAAATATTAAAGCTGAGACTTCAGCGTTGGGAAGGGCTTTAATTCTATAATTATTCCCTCCAAATATTACAAGTTCGGGGTCTTGTCAGCATGGGGTCAAAGGCGCCTTAATGTCCAGGAACAATTTGCCCTCTAGATGGAAAACTAAACAAAGGAGGAGCCCTGGAGACGCCTGCTTCTGCGGTTGGCTTCGCTCTAAGTTCAAATGCAGCCACTCTCGCCATGAGAAAGTCTCGCTGGAGGCTGTCTCGCCAGCGGAGTGGGGATGCCCCCTTCTTCCCCTGCAGCAGGTAAAGCTCCCTGCGTGTTCTGGCTGCTCGGCCCGGCCAAAGGGGAAACCCCGGCGATCCCCCCAAACAGGCCGAGGGGGCGAGCTCCACGTGTAAACGGGATTATAGCGAAGCAAGGGGGGGAACGTGGCGCCTTCATGCGGGTTGTCAATAAACACTGGCTGGAACCACTGACTTTAAAGTGGGTCATTTCCTACGCAGAGTTCCAGCCTCCCCGGGTGCGCAACGAACATCTCTGGGGAGCCCCGCATGGCTGCGGTCTCCGGCCGCCCCGTTCGGGAGTGGGGATGCTGAGGGTTCGCGGGCCCTGCCCGGGGCCAGCTCCCCAACAAACCGGCCTGCCCACAAAGGGAAGAGAGTCGCTGCCGCTGGGGCTAAGGCCCCAGGGCATACTCACGGGCGAGTTAGCAGGCCAGGCCGCGCTGGCCCTGTGCAAGACACTGGGCCGTCTCCTGCCTGCCGAGGAACCGGTCTCTGGCCTGCGGAGCTGGGCCCTTCGGGGGGACTAACAACGGGCAGCCGCTCCAGGCTACTGGCAGGCAAAGGAGGCCACAGCTGGAAACGCTCCGTACGCCCGGGCAGGCGGGCAGCAGCCCTGACATATGCCGGAGGCCCGGCCCCTCGCGCAATACAACCGGCTCGCTCAGAGGACAAGTCGGGGAACCCGCCGCACGCCCAGGGCGCGGGAGGGAGGCTCGCCAGCCCAGGCCGGGAGCTCGCTCCAGAGAGGGACCCTGGCCCGTGGGGACTGCGCTCTGCATTCAAGTGCTGGAGCAGGAGCGGGCGCAGGGCGATCAAATCAGCTGCAGCGGCGGGAAAGGAGCCTCCACGGCAGCCACCCGAGCCGGGCTTGCGCCCTGCATCTGGCTGGAGGGACCGACGGGGTGCAAAGGGAAAGGACAGCGAGCCAGCCGCGGGGATGCCTTCTCCCGGCCGCAGGCTCTGCCCCATTGTCCTCTGCCCTCCGCCTCGCAAAGGGACGCTCTCGCGAAAGGAAGGCCAAAAATGCTTTAAAACCCAGCTCTTTGCTGCCGCCACGCAGCCCGCAGAACCGCCAGAGCAGAGCCCGGCGCGGGGGCTACTGCGAGTCTGGCCGGCCAGCGCTGGGAGTTTGGCAGGGCAGTGAGCCCGGCAAGTGTGTAGCCCTCGGAAGCACCGTGCCTGGCACAGGGCCACTGTCGAGCGAGGGGCTCGGGCCAGAGAAGGAGATGGATGGAGGTGTACGCGCACCGCTTGGACTCGAAGCCCACACAGTCCGTGCACTCCACCGAGAAGTGATCCAACGTGCAACACCCAGCGACACCCCCATGCTACACACCGGGCGGGGGGGAGCTCTGTTTCCATAGGCACCTAACTGTTCGCGCACCCGCCGCGCTGTACAGTCTCTGCAGCCTCGCTGCTTCCACACGTGTACCCATGTCTGTCTGGGGGGCGAGACGGAGACCGACCTGTGGCTAGGAGCGCACACACATCGGCGCAGCGGGGCAGGGAGTCAGGCCAGCTCGGCCGTACGTGGAAGGGCTGCTGAGTCACAGCCCAGCTGTCCCGGTTGCTAGCCAGGGCACTAAAGAAAGTTTGAAAAACTGCCGAGCAGTGTCCTTGCAAAAAATAACCCCCGGCCGCTCTAGGGATCGGGGGTCGCAGCAGGCAAAGAAGGCTCCCAGCCTACGGAGACTAACCCCTCCCAGGACTTCCCCGCTCGGTTGTCGCCGCTGGGGAAGGACGGGGGGCAGGCAAGCGGACAGACCGCGCTGCCCTTTGGAATCGCTTGCCTTGGAAAGCCCCAGCTCTCCCTTGGGTGTCACTGCTAAGCCTCGCCCAGTCCCTGCGTGCTCGGGGCGCTGCTCTCCCGGATTCCAGCCGCAAAGGGGGGGCCGCTGACTCAGCACCTGCTTCTGTTGCTCTTTCCTCCCCCAGCGGCCAGGTGAACGATCCTGTCCGCAGAGACACGCGGCCCAGAGGCCAGGCCGGGGGCTCCTGGATGAGTGTTCGTTATGGGTCGCTTTGGGGGTCCCTGTAGCGCCGGGAACCGCTTTAGTGTAGTGCCCGCCACGCACGTGCCAAGTGGGAAAGTTTTCAACGACCCCCCTCCCCTCCCGCAGCGCTTTCCGCTCGCCCCAGGCTGGTCCCGGGCAGCCCAAGGCAAGAAAAGTCAACGAGCAAAACTTTCCGAGAGAGGGGCTGCCACGGGCTGGGGGCCCCGATTGTGCCCAGG